AAATTTAATTATTTATATATATATATATATATATAATAAAAAGATTACCTTTTTTTTTTATGTAATACAATTAAGATCAATAATAAATAATATATAAATTAAATTACAAAGTTCTACACACTATTTATATATGTACCTGTTTTTAAATAATTACATTAATTTTATGTTTATATTTTTCGAATGAATAATAAAAATATTTTATTGTGTGTATTGAGGTGACAAAGATCTTCCACGATGATTAAATATTTGAAACGAAGGAAGATTTCTTAATGTTTCCCAAGATTTGTTTTCTAAATCTACAACTGCTCGAATTTCTTTGAAATCACCAGCAATATACATTACTCCATACATAACCAAAAATAAACTGATAATGCCTTGTATTAAAATCTGTAACAAAAATGTACCATGAATTACATATTTTTTTTATATTAATTCTAAATATTAATGATACTTACATCAATTGGTAAAGTAATGAATTCTTGTTCTGTTATTCGTAAATATGAACGATCTATAAATTTTATTATAAAAATATAGTCAAAATTTAAACAATTTAGCCAAAAAATATTAAAAAATATATCATTATATTTTTAATTTTAAAAATAATACATACGTTGAGCAGCTGAATATGCTGTATGTAATATTGATATCAATCCTATGAATGTCGTAAATTTGTGTAGAGTTGTTGCAGGCATTTTAATATTACTAAATAAATTTAATATTATAAAATAATATAACAAATATTTTAAACGATAATTATGATTTAACGCTCACAATAGTAATTCTTATACTAGTATAAATTATAATAAACAAGGCTTGTTTTCATGTTATGAAGCAAGATGATTGCTTTATTTATAAATTGTCTTTTTTTATTTTATACCGCGTTTCTAATTATTGTTTTTTTTTTAAATTATATTTAGATACGATTAGTTTTTTTTTTTTTTAATTTATATAATATTATAAGTATAAATCAATTATCTAGGAATTAATTTAGCGTATAATGTAAATTTACATTCTAAAAAGTGATTAAAGTGAGAATAAATAGCGAAAAAAAACAGAAAGTAAAAATATGAGATTTAGCACTATTTCCAAAGTGCATAGATAAAACTTGTAATAGATAAAGAGAGCAAATAATAAAAGGATTAAATAAGATAAGAATTGATTATCATTGCCATCTCTTGAATACTTTTGGAAAATATTATTATATCAAAAGATGGCACTGATGATCAATTCTTATCCTATTTCTATTCTTCTTGTCTACTATTTATTTTTCTTCTATGTTTATTTATCTTCTATATTAATCTCATTTACGACATTTTAGAGATGGCGTTGATTATTATATTTTTATATTTCTATTTCTATCTTTTTCTTCTTATTTGTTTTTCTTGTCTGTCTATTCCTTCTTAGCGTGTAATCATAGCAGAATAAAAAATACAGGATGTCAACTAAATACACTTCATCATTTTTTTTTCAAAATTACAATGTATTTTAATCGTTAATGTAAAAAATATACATATAATATTTTTGACTTTACAATATATGTTTACAATGATTTTGCAAAAAATATATACTGATATACATATGACGTGAGACTTTATTTCGACGATAGTGGTAGGATTTAAATTTTGTAATGAAATATATTTTCTATATTTTATATGTAATTTTGAAATATTGAAATTTAATTTTAATTATTATTGATATTACAATTTTATTGGCTGAGCTGAGAATAATACTAAAATAATAAGAAAGATCTAGTATCCTCCAGTATAGGACGAAAAAATACATTGAATGTTAGATCTATTCTGTACCTCGTTTGTGGTGGTATATGCAAAAGTTGATCGGTCTCTTTATCTATCTATATATATATATATATGTATATTAAAAATGTTTGTTTATAGTTGATAAATATCTCAGTAATATTAAATATCATGGATTATGAATTTAAATTAAAAACTGACACAGATCGAACTAAGGTCGAAGATCTTTTCGAATTTGAGGGATGTAAAGTTGGAAGAGGAACTTATGGTCATGTCTATAAAGCTCGCAGAAAGGAGGGGTTAGTTTTTCTAACCTAACATAGAAGATTTAATATATTAAATTATATTTCATATCAGTAAGAATAATCTTTCATTTTTCGTAAAATATACAAATTTACGAAGGAATATTTTCTGTTATTAGAAAATTGTAGCTTTTATTTAAATATTGAAATAAAATTAATTTTTGTACATGTTTTGGTTTCTTGTACATATCTATGGTTTCTAGAATACTTTGTAATATATATATATAAAATAATTAATTTTAATTATTCTAAATATTAAGCATTATATAAAAAATTCTTATAACAAGGCGAAAATTCTTTTCATTTTATCCTTTTCACTTTTTGCAATAATAATGCATATTTGACATTTGAATAGTGTACCAGATAGCGAATTGAAATCTCGACCAGACACAAAGGATTTTGGCCTTAAACAAATAGAAGGTACAGGCCTTTCAATGTCTGCATGTCGAGAAATTGCAGTAAGTATTTATTTTATTCTTATTAATATGCATATTATATAAAATTATCATAAAACCATTAATATGCATATTATCCAAAACTAAAAGCATAATACATATAATAATATTAATTATTTTATTATAAATATTTTGACATATGTGTTTCTATAGTTACTTAGGGAACTGAAACATGTAAATGTGATTACATTAATTAGAGTCTTTTTATCACACATTGATCGCAAAGTATGGTTATTATTTGACTTTGCTGAGCATGATTTATGGGTATGTTTATATTTCTTATTGAAGTATTTCATAATTGAATTTAGTAATTCAATTTCATTAAATATTTTCTAATTTGTTAAACATTAATAATTTTTATTTTAATCTGTAGCATATAATAAAGTTTCATAGAGCAGCAAAAGCTAATAAAAAACCTGTTATGGTACCAAAGGGTATGGTAAAATCTTTGTTATATCAAATTCTTGATGGTATTCATTATTTACATTCCAATTGGGTGCTTCATAGAGATTTGGTAATTTATTATTATATATATATAGATTTATATCATACATATGTATAATATCTTATTTTTATTAATTTTATATTGAATAATATTAAATTTAGAAACCAGCAAATATCTTAGTAATGGGAGAAGGAAATGAAAGAGGACGTGTTAAAATTGCAGACATGGGTTTTGCTAGATTATTCAATGCTCCTTTAAAGCCTCTTGCAGATTTGGATCCAGTTGTAGTAACATTTTGGTATAGAGCACCAGAATTACTTTTAGGTGCTAGACATTATACAAAAGCTATAGGTATATTTTATATATATTTAAAAATTATAATTATCAATATATATTTTCTTTTCAAATATTTTTTTTATTTTAGATATTTGGGCTATTGGTTGTATATTTGCAGAACTTTTAACTTCTGAACCTATATTCCACTGTAGGCAAGAAGATATCAAGACTAGTAATCCATATCATCATGATCAATTAGATAGGTAAACAAATTATTTGATATATGCATTAAATATATAAATAATATAGAATATAATATTATAATAAAAATAACGATTTTCATTAACATTTAGAATATTTAACGTGATGGGATTCCCATTGGAAAAGGATTGGGAAGATATTAAAAAAATGCCAGAACATCCTACATTACTTAAAGATTTTAAAAGATCAAAGTTAGTATCCTTTTAAAGACAAATTTGTATGCATATACCCATACATAAGAAATACATAAATCAAAATTTTTAATTTAACTTTAATCGAAATATAAATCTTCTTACAGTTATGCAAACTGTTCTCTTACTAAGTATATGGACAGACATAAAATTAAACCCGATAGTAAAGCGTTTAATTTGGTATGATTAAGTAAAATATTTTAATTCTTTTTAAACTTATTTTTCAAATAATAATATTAATTTATTTCAGCTTCAGAAACTTTTAATGATGGATCCCAATAAACGAATAACCTCCGAACATTCTATGCAAGACGCTTACTTTCAAGAAGAACCATTGCCAACACAAGAGTAAGATTTTAAGAATTTAATCATGATTTAAATCGTATATATCGTTTGCTTTTAAACCGAATCAATCTATTTAAATAATATTGTAGCATATTTGCCGGTTGTCCTATTCCATATCCTAAACGAGAATTTTTAACGGATGATGATACAGAGGAAAAGACTGAAAATAAAGCACGACAAAATCAACAACAAACTGTGAGTATCATTAACTTGGATAATTTATATTTTTCTTTTTACGAATTGTATAAAATTTTAGCAACAAAATCAGCAACAACAAGGAAATGGTGATCACAATCATGGACAAAATGCAAAACGAGTGAGACTTAATGGTCCTCATGGAGCTCCAGAATTTCATCAACATCAAAGTCATGCAATGACCCATCAACAACCTCCAGGAATGGTTTATTCTACCGCACAACCAACGCAACCGTCAAATTTCCATCAACGTTTTTAAATGATTCATATAAGACAATTAAATTCGCCAGTGAACAATTAAATTATTAGTCTACCAATTTAATTGATTTCTGTATCAATGAACAGACGAACAATTTCTGTATATTCACAATATGATAATATAATTTTATTTATATATTGTGTATATGTATATGCGTTACAATGTGTATTTTTTACACTTTACATGCATTTCATGTATATGCAATATCACATATTCGCAACATTTACTAATATTACAAAAAATGATATGTCTATTTTTTACGTCATTAATGAACGATATCAGTAAATTTGAAATAATTTGATGAATGTAGATAAAATTAAGAAATCTTTAAAAAATTAAGCAACTTTTAAATATCCTTATGTTTATATTCGTCGCCATTAAAACGAACAAAGCGTATATGAAATTTTTATGATAAAGAAAAAATAAACAATTATAAGTGAAAAGAAAAAGTTTGAAAATGGAAAAAAAAAAATGAAAAAAAGAAAAGAATGCGAATTGTAAGCAGTCTTTGCTCATCGTCAAAGATGACAAAGAATGAAGTTGAATCGAACAGAGAGAAAGTACGCATGCGCGGTAAATCATTCCATAGCAAGGTGGCGGCCAGTCGCGCGCTCCTGAAACGCAGTTTCCGCGAATCGGTGCTTGACGAAAAAAGTGTGCGTGAACCGCGTGCTACCGCAATCGAAATGCCGATCAAACTACGGACCATTCATTCGCCAAACAACCTGTTGTTTAAATGAAAATAAAAGGTGAGAGGAAAGTTTCATCCAACAATTTATGCGATTCTTTCTTTCGTTCATCGTCTTATTAATTGTTCCATTAGTCTCTCGAAGCGAACACCTGTCAAACGTATTCGCATCTTTTTTTTTTTTTTTCGTTTTCTGAATGAAAGATATCACTCTTCATAACAATTGTCCGTATCGTTAATATTAGTTTAAAATATATTTTTTTTTTTAATTCTTTTTTGTTTTTAATAAAACGAATAGTGCATGAATTATTTTCAATTTTGATCGAATAATCCCGCAATATTAAAAGATCTCTCTTGCGTAATAAATAATTAAACAAATTTATCTAATGTCATATTTATAAACGATTTAATATAATTTATTTATTTATTGCATTGGCTCGTCGAAAATTAAAATTAAAATAATGTTTCTTTATGATTATGATTTTATAAGCGAAACATAAATAATAATATTTCGTGTACTCTCTATATTGCGTAATTAGAATTCTCGAATCGATTTTTTCTTTAACAGAAGATAGAAATTATTCGAAAAAAAAATAGAAGAAAGCAAAATTTTGAATTTTGAAAATATCAAGAAGCGTGATAGATGTATGAGTAAAAGTAGGGGAGGAGGGAACAATCCTGACCACTATAATCCAACAACCAGTCGGGGGCCATGACCACGTTGCGACAAGGTAACCGCAATTAACTCGTATCGATATATTAACGGAACGATTTGAAATCCTAACTGTTTCCGACAACTGTTTCGTTTGCAACAACAGCTATCGTGAACACGTTAAACGTTAAACGATATGTGTGTAGGTACACATGGATGTATCTACATATTTCTAATGCAAAATAGTCGAGATACAGTGTCAATCGATTCATCATCGACATAAATGTTCATGTGCAGTTAGGAATCCCAACAACACGAAACAAAAGAAAGAAGAATCGAAGGAAAGATCAGCATTCGTTTTGCACAAGGACGTTCAGAATATACGAAGGCAAACGTGACGAAACTGGTAATGTTGTGTCGTGGTACAAAGATCAGTGTGAAAGACTTTATTCGAAATTATAATAATGCGATGTAACAATCGAATAATAGTGGAGCATCTTTATCTTTGACGATTAAAAATCGCGTTAATTAAAAGGTTTTTATTATTATTATCGATATTAGAATGTAATAATAAAAATACATGTATCGATTCGACAAATTATCGATAATCGATAAATAGTATCGATTCGCGAGTAATATTTTTAACATTCGTCTCATCCTCGTAGAAAAAACAATCAATCATAGATGATTTCGTTGATCGTTTTCCGTAGGTAGTTGTTACGAGGTCATATGAATCAAAAAGATTCAGGATATCTCTAACGTACAAGAGTCTATACATGGAGATTTCGAGATGGCCTCTGTCGATATACGCCTTCTCTAAAAGAACGAGTGGAATCAAGGTATCCATATGATTCAAAAATGTCGCGACAAATCACGTATGTAATTAAAATTACATTCGTTGATCGAACAATGATTTACGTTATCGTTTTAATGGTACGCATCGATTAGCGATGAACTAATTTTTATACTTTTTCGCCGAAATATTGATGCATTCATCGATCCACGAATTATGATCTTTTTGTCGTTTCGATTCGAATCGCAAACATGACGTGTCCGTACTTCGTATCGAATTCTCTTTTCGGCGACGAGGAACGACATTGACGATGGTCGAAACTTCTTTTGTCGGTATTGAGAGAGACGTGGGAAGAGAGGCGAGCAGATTGTCGGTGGACATATACATATACTTACTTAGGTTTGCGTATTCATACGCGAAAGAGAACAAGAACGAGAACAAGAACGAAAGACAGAGAAAAGAAGCGAGGTCAACAAGGTACCCGATATGGTATCCTACGAGCGTCGAGAGTGTTATTTTATGTATATCTATGCCTAAATATACACGAACACACGTAAATTCGTACATGCATTCGTAAGATCGTCTCTAATATATGCGATCGTATTATACGTAATTTCATATCAAATTTTATATTCAAAACTTCATTCACCGTTTCGTTTTGACCGAATTCCATCAACAGTTTTCGAACTTTATGAATTTTCATTCGAATCATTTTCTATTTAGAAATTTAAATCATTAGAATTAAATGACTGGAACATGTATAATACGCTTATTAATTATAACGCAGTTAACTCGAGGGAATAATCTCGATTAGAAATATAGGATACTTTCGATTATATTTATATTTTCTCAAAAAACGCGAACGAAACCGAACGAAATTAAAATCGAATGTCCCGTACGTTTCTTCCTTTTTCTTTCTTTTCTCCTTATTTCAATAAATCGAATCGCAGCCTTCCTAAGATGGCTAGTGCCACTGTAAATGCAGACACGCAAGTGCGAACTTCGAGGTCGTCGGTAGGTACGATTACAGGAAGCACCAATGACTTAGTACGGCTGCAGCAAGGCGTACCAGCATGAATCACTTTTACCAGCCTCTACCACTCGCGATATATTCGGAAACATGTTCGCGAATCGTATTTACTTACAATTAGAAGCATATTCGTTCTCGTTGATTCTTTGTTTTTTATTTTATTCTCTCCTTTCGGATTCGTTTACATCGCTTGAAATGTATATTGAGCTATATCTATATGTATGAACGTATAGCTTTTTTTTACAATCGGCTAACTTCTGCTCGGTCATACGTTGAAAGAAAATTTGTTTTTATGTTTTATTATTTACATATAGACTAATCGATGCCAAGCTACCTAATCACGCGTTGTAAGCCCTTAATAATACATACATATATATATATATATTCGAGAATCTATTTTTAAACATGACTAGAAAGAGAGAGAGAGAGAGAGAGAAATATGCGCATGCATACGATGACGCAATTCTATGGGTCTTTCCCCTATATTTCCCTCTCTCCAGTTCTTTCTCTTTCGTCCTTTCACTCTTTCATGCTTCTTCATCTCTCTTCTTTTTATTTGCTCCTTCTCTCTCTCTCTCTCTCTCTCTCTTTCTCTCTCTTTCTCTCTCTGTTCCTTTTACTTCTCTACAATTGTTCCTCCTTCTTTTTATTCACGTCCTCCAACGTATTCCTATATTCATGGACATACGAAGCAGAAGATTATTTTTCGATATCGATTAAATCTCGTCGAATAAATCGATATCTTGATCGTATAATATTTATCATTGTCGATATTCTTTAAAAATTGAATATGCTCCTTAAACCTATACAAGATATACTTATTTCTCTCTTCCCTCCTCTCTCTCTCTCTTTCTCTCTTTCTTTTTCTCAGCGATCTTACTCGTACAAGTTTAAGTATGTGATACGCATAGAAAATAGTATGACACATTGATTCTCAATCAAGACCTTGTTCTAACTTTATTCGTTTTATTTCACGTTAGGAAAAATAGAAATGTAAAATCGAAATAGCGAGATATGCACGTAAGTACTTATGAATTTACATATGTATGTACGTATATTTTCGAACGATGATCGGCGATGACTCGTTAAAAATCGTTGATCCGTAAATACGACAATAGACACGAAAAACACTTTGTCCTAAATATCAATGACCGTTACGAAAAAACTATTGTTCCTTCTATGTTATATACTCCTTATACGTTTATACATTACGTTACGTATCTACTATTATCTATATATATATATATTATTATTATTATTATTATTATTATTATTATTATTATATAATAAGAAAATATGGAAAATATCGAAATTAATCACAATTTCGTTTGTTTCAGATTCGGGGCAGAGCATTTTCCAAATGTTGTCAATATGGATTCCCACGTTGGTCTCGACTATATCGTGGATAATCCTGATTACTGCGTCAAGCTTGCCTCGGGTAAAATTATTCAACGTTCTCGATAGCTCGAATGTCGGATAACCGGCTCCGATTGCATCCTATTAATCGCGTATCTCGTTAAATTTCAGCCTTGGACACCGCTTGTCCCTCGGTGAAGAAGCAAGTGGTAGAATTGCTTTCGGCGTTGTGTGTTTATAGTCAGGATGGAAGGCAGAGGGCTATCGATACCCTTCACGCATATCAGGTGATCGAACTTGAGTAACAAATTCGAATATAATAAGGATAAGGTTGATTTCGTTCGTTCGTTCGTTTTTTTTTTCTCTTTCTTTCTTTCTTTTCATTCGCAGAGTAATAAAGTTATTACCGCAAAAAAAAAAAAAGTTGGAATTTTTATCTCAGAGGTATAAGGTAGCGTTTAAACGCAAGGTTGCCGTATATCCGTTCGATACGTAGGTACTTAACGCAGAAAGCGAACCCGCATGCTAAGCTTGCGTAAAAGTCACAGTTCAAGGTCTTCCTTCGACAAACAAAAGAACAATATACCGATATATCATTGGGTTGGAAACCTCCATTCGCGACACCACTAGCCTATCTATGTTACGTACATTCTGCGCCCCACCGAGTTACACTATGCCATCACACTTTTTCCTCGTCAAATTACCGCTTTCTAATCTAATCTCTTCTTCGCGATGCCAAAACTAATGGAACGTGTGCGAATGTATTTTTTCGCCGACGATGCTGTCGTTCTAACGGACAAACAAAATAATAATCGAACGATAACACGAATTCCAGAAACGAAAAAATGAACGATATCGTTTACGAATCGTGGTAGAAGAATTGCAAAACGCAACCGGCGAAGATTATCGGACCGTGCTATTGGCATTCATTAATTGTTTGGTCATCTCTACCCCGGTGCTGAAGGATCGCATAAGAATCCGCAACGAGTTCATCGGTTGGTATCGAATCTATATATATATATATATATATATATATATATATATATATATATTAT